AGTGGGAGAAGTTCGCCGAGTGGGGTGAGGACCTGGAGGTGAACATCGCCAAAGTGGATGTCACGGAGCAGCCGGGTGAGAGGCCAGCGGGGGTGGCTTTGGGCCGCTGAGACCGCGGGGAAGATGTTTGGTGCAAGTGTATGTGCTTTTAGAAAACAAGCAGAATCGCTAAGAATAATAAAGATCTGTTATTAATCTTTACTGAAGGCAGGTTGCTATATGTGGACTAAGTACTCTATAGTCTTTCTTAATACATAAAGGGAACAAGAGGTTTTCTCTATAAAGTGACTTGCATGACTTAAAGGAGGTTTTAAAAAATGCGGTTTCAGCCTCCCCTGTGGTAGTATTTCCCTTTGCTGGCAAAAAGGGAGTGCGAGCAATCTGGTCTCCCTCAGCTGAAGCTCAGACAGTTCTCTTTATCGCCCTCGATAGAGAGGTGTGGTTTGTAAAAACAATGATACTTCTCCACGCTGCTATCTTCTTCCAAAATGTTGTAAGAACTTTTGAACCTTGCCTCACTTGGATTATTTTCTGCAAGCACTGGGGGCTGCAGGTTATGTGGGGAAAGGAGAGCATTTCCAAGGAGCTCCAGCCAAATAACAGGGTAGAATGGCTGTTCCCTTTTCCCCCTGTGGAGAAACTTTCTCACCCTTTGTCTAGGGACATTTAGACTGTGCAGGACTTTGATCTGCATGGGTTTGTGTTTGATCACAGTTAAAGATTGATGCCTGGGGAGCAGCTGTTTTTACTTTGGTGTACGATAACATTTCTTGTCTCCTCTTCTGTAAGAGTGCTCCGCTATTCTGACAATAACTGTTTTCTTACAGGACTAAGTGGAAGATTTATCATAACAGCTCTTCCTACCATCTATCAGTAAGTACTCAATGTGGCAGGGTTTTTTGGAGGAAAGAAGTATTTTTTTTCCTTTTTTGGGGACAAAGGAGTGAGATTTACTGTGCTTTTTAAGGATGTGAGTTACCTTACACACAGAAACCAGCTCTCTTACGCGCTGTGACCCTACAGTGCTGCCAGTTGGTTTTTTTTCTTTTCCCTTCAGGCCTTATTTATTCTGTCTTTCCATGGGTGTTTCTGTTTTGCAATCTCTGTAGGTTGATCTTAATGTAGCTGTGTGGCACATGCCGTAGGAAGATCATTATCTTTTTTTATGGAAGTGCAACCTAAAGGTAGCCAAGATAACGTGTGGAGTCAAGATTTTTGGAAAATGTTTTGGAGCCAATCTCATCTAAAGCAAAGTGAAACAAACCAAAAAAATGTAGACAAGGTGATGGGAAAGAAGATGTTGGGTGGAGGCAAGTCCTAAAGTGAAGGACTTGATTTTTTGTTTGTTTTGCAGCTGTAAAGATGGAGAGTTCAGGAGATACCAGGGTGCAAGAACTAAATCTGATTTCATAAACTTCATCAGTGACCAGGAGTGGAAATCTATCGAACCGGTATCATCATGGTTTGGTCCTTCCTCTTTCCTGTAAGTTTGTGTCTGATTTTTATAACAATTTGTTGTCAAATATGCACACTTTAAGGATGTGCTGGGGCGGGTCCTTTGGTGTGAGGCACCTGGTGCTGCCTCCTTGTTAATGGCTCACGCAGCAGCACTGAGCTGGTAAGTGTGTGAACACGATGGATGGGTGCCCAGATGAATTCCAGGACATTATCAGTATAAACTGGAAAACAATGTAGCAATGGAGTTGGAAGATACGGAATGTGTGAAACAGGGTCCTAATTTTAGGATTAAAAAGCTTACAGTACCAGCTCTGTTTTTTGCACATAAGGAAGCAGTGTGCAGGCTCCTTCTGCAGCTCGCTCATTAACAACTTGGGTTGGCTTGATGTTTCGGATTCTCCTATCCTTTATAGATAGGGAATACGTAATGCTGAAGTTTCACAATAACAGCAAAATGTCAGAATTGGCAGGATAGCCTGGTCTTTTTCACTTGTATGACTTCGAGATGTTTTCAGTTCCTTTTCTCTGCTTTGTTTCAGGATGAGCAGTATGTCAGCATTGTTTCAGTTGTCAATGTGGATCAGGGTATGTGCTTAGATCTCTATTTTATCCTACCAGAAATGATATTCAGCTATTCTTGGAAATAATTCTCTTGTCTTTTATTCCAGCACTGCCATGGTTATTTAACAGAAAGTATTGGACTACCGGTCTGGGGCTCGTATGCGCTTTTTGCATTGGTGACTTTGTTTTCGGGACTGATACTGGGACTTGTAAGTGAAGCACTCAAAACAGATTGGTCTGTGACTACTGTGTATTGCACTCGTGCCTTCTATGTCTCAGTCTTTAGTAGTCAGACCAGTTGTTCTCTGGGTATTCAGTACACTGAGCCAGAAGACAGGGACGGGGAGCAGAATGAAGCCCCCATAATCCAAAGGGAAATGGTCAGCGACCTGCTTCACCACTTAGACGTGCACAAATCTACGAGGCTGGATGGGATCCACCCAAGGGTACTGGGGGAGCTGGTGGAAGTGTTCACCAAGCCGGTTTCTGTCATTTATCAGCAGTCCTGACTTACAGGTCCCAGTTGACTGGAGGTTAGCAAATGTGATGCCCATCTACAAGAAGGGCAGGAAGGAGGATCTGAGGAACTGCAGAACTGTCAGCCTGACTGATGCTGGGGCAGGCCATGGAGTAGATCATCTTGAGTGCTATCACATGGGATGTACAGGACAACTGGGTGATCACACAGTCATGTGGCTTCATGAAAAGCTGGTCCTGCTTGACTAACCTGATCTCCTTCTATGGCAAGGTGACCAGCTTAGTGAATGAGGAAAGGCTGTGGCTGTTGTAGACTTTAGTAAGGTTTTTGGCACCGTTTCCCACAGCATCCACCTGCAGAAACTGCCTGCTCGTGGCTTGGATGGGTGTACTCTTTGCTGGGTAAAAAAACCTGGCTGGATGGCCAGGCCAAAGAGTGGTGGTGAATGGAGTTAAATCCATGGTTTAGTGGTGGGCTCGTCAGTGCGAGGTTAATGGTTGAACTCAATCTTAAAGGTCTTTTCTAACCGAAATGTTTCTATGATTTGAAGGTGCAGGGTGTTTGGAGGTTTAACCTTGTCTTTCTTTGGTTTCAGCTAATGGTGTTTGTAGCAGACTGTATCTGTCCGTCCAAAAGGCACAGACTGCCACAGCACCCTTACTCAAGTAAGCCCACTTCTAATTCACTGAAGTTGTTTGATAAATCTTATTAAATAAATATCAGTATGTAACTTGTGTCTGCAGGACATGAGATTTAGTGTAGGAGTTTGCACTTGGAATTGATGCTGTGCTTTACCTGCAGCTGTTTGCCCTTAGGGTTTGTAGTAAATGTTTATTTTTTATTTAGCTAAAGCTGAACAGTTTCCTTTTTTTTTAGGAGATAAGAAAATGTTTTTGCAGTATTTTCATACCTGCAAGATATGAAATTCTATATGTGCAGGAAGATAAGAGTAGAAATTTTGAGCAGAGCTCTCAGTTGAGGGTTTGCATAAGTTTTAGGGGCAAAGGGAGGATTAAAAGCGAATTCATGTTTCGGTGGATAGTAGACGGCTCAGTTTGGGGTTAGTCTCTGGAGTTTTTCAAGGTCATTTTAAAAAGTCATGGAAGAGTGCTTGAATGCTGGTTTATGGTTTTTAGGAACTTAACTCACATTTTCAAAGCTGGAGGAAGTTTTCTCTTACCTTCTCTAGGTACCCTGTAATCTGTTAATACTTGACCCGGGGGTAGCTTCATGCTGACCTAAGATAGGAGCTTAAGTGTCTGATACTGGAAAGTGCTAACTGGATTAAATTCATTAAAATTCTGTGCTAGGCCATGATGCTAAAAAAAATAAAAAGGGTATTTCACATGGTAATGTTATTTACCGGTGTATGCATGTTTTCTTTTCTCCTTAAGGAAAGCTAGCTCCAGAGTCAGCTCAGCTGCTGAAAAAGCTGGATGAAGAGCAAGAAGCAGATGAGGAAGATATCTCAGATGATGAAACGGAGGGTAAAGAGGTGTCCAACAGAAACTCATCACCGAACGCTGTCAGGCAGCGCCCAGTGAACCCTGCTGCCACAGTGGATAAGTCTTAGCTCTGTTCGCATGCAGGATTAGCGTTTGAGTCAGTAACTCAAAAGGAGCTCAATGCCAAATCCTTCAGCTTGAAAAGAAGAATGACTCCTCTCATGGTACTATTGATGCATTTCATGAATTTAGGGAAAAAAAAAAGGTATCTTTGGCATCAGATATTCAAAACTAAAACATGCTGTTGCAAAGGGCTGGAGTGCCGGGAAATAATTGATGTGGCTTCTTGAATGACTTGTTCTCTAGGGATTTTCTTTAACAGGGTGTAAGCCAGTGTACTTCTTGCATTAGGGAACATTCGCGAGGAAAATGCACTAACGTGGTTGCTAGTAAAGCATACAAAAAGGTTTCTCAGTATAAATCTTACCTAGTTGTGCTCTGAAGAAATGCTGAGGGGCAAAGTCCCTTCAGTTATGGGACGCATTCCAGGCTTTTTAGTGACAAAACCTGCTTTCTGCTATGACAATGAGTGCTATAACCCCCAGATCTTTCTTCTTCCAAAGACAGGAGAGTTGTCCTCACTTAGAGGAGCAGAAGTTGCCCCCTGAGCTGAAGTTAGAGCTTGTCTTTGCCATCCTCTCAGATGGACGTTGCCACAGGCAGTCTGTGTAGCGTGGATTCTCTGCCTGACCAGAAACCTGTTATTTGCATCTATTTCTTTTAGAAAAGGCTGTAGAAAACAATATGAGCTTCATGACGAAGTAATTCTCTAGAAAAAAATACAGGTAGCACCATGAAGTCTCACTTGTCTCAATGACTCAGATTCAGATGGGAATAGTTTACACGCGGGGTTCTCTGCTGAGTGCAAACCCTCTCCATTTTTCCTGCTGTGTAGCAGTATGACTCTGCTTATTTTTTTACATCATCACCGGTGATTTCTCCTTAAACTTTACTGCAAATCCAGTTAAGCTGTAGCTGGTCTGAGGTTGAAATAACTACTTCCTAATTATTTTTTTTTACAGAAAGTCATCTTTTCTGTTTTCACAGGATTATCTTGAGCCAATATACCCAAATTCTTTCTTCAGAACAGACTGTAGCCTACTGTTTTCTGTATGGTATTTGGTTTCGCTCCGTATAGAAATAAAAAGCGTACACGTGCGCATTGGGCCAGTGTTACCTTGCATCGCTTGTGAAGAATTTCCTGTATTATTTCAGTTAATTTCCAAAGTGTTTGCAAGGGAAGAGTTAGCGTAATGCTGAGCACACGTAGGGTTTTTGACAAGCCTCTTCTTGCTGGATTTTGGGGGGGTTTTTGGTAATATTTTTTTGTGTAGTTTTTGTTTTTTTTAAATTGTTCATCTGAGTGGGTTTGCAGGACTGGCAGTCGATAAATTTTTGTCGATAATAAACTTGGTCATGAGTAGTTAAGGCTGCAAACACAGAAATGCTCTCGGTATTTATTTTCCCAGCTGCCTGGCTCTCTAAAGCTAGACTAATGATCTAGAAGACAGAGCATCAGACAAGGAGCTCTGTGGGATATGAAAGAAATACCAGGGAAAACCCACTATTCAGAGCTCTTGCAGGTGAACCAGCTTGTAAAGCTGTTAAGAATGCTCCATTTTTTTGTTGATCTTTTATAAGTTGTATTTTAAGTTTATCTGATGGATCGTAATTCCTCCTCTGTGTTATGAATGGAAGAAAGTGATTCAGCTACCCAATTTTTTGAGTGAATCTTCCACCACCACCTTAGCTGAGTGAGAATGAGCTGTGTAAGCTGTCCTGGAGCTTTCTCCTTCGACTTTTTCTTTCTTTTTTCCTTTTTCTGAACATTGGTGCTCTGGACCATGCTGGATTATGTGTTAGGAAGGTAATAACTGCTGCTCGAAAGGGTCTTTTTGGTTGAAATCTGAGCGTCATTTTAAATAGCAAACTTCTCCTGGTGGTTGAACAAAGACCACTGTGTGCTGTGAATGCCCTTGAGGTGTTGGTCTTGTGGGATTGCCTTAAATTCTCGCCAAGTTTAGATCTTAGCCTTTGTGACTAGTGAAATAAAGCAATAAATCTGTGATGTGCTAAGAACATGTAGTAGTAGAAATGATAGATGGTGTGGTGTGTGTGTTTGGAGGGGGCTTGAGAAGACAGGGGACACAGAAATGCTGTGGGCTGTTGTTAGGGGAAAGCGTTGAATTGTTTTAAAAGCTGAACTATATGGACTAACTCCACCTAGAACATATTTAAATGTAGCCGTTATAAATGCAGGGTTTTCTAATTTTTCAGTAACTCTAAAATTGTGTGCAATATAGAAAGAATTTTTTGCTAACTTTAAAAGAACAACCAACCATTTTGTTCTCTTCTCGCTGTACTTGTAGACTCCTGGTGTGACAAGAGCTCCTAGCACTGATTCGCCTTACCTTTGCCTTCTGCACACCTTCCTTTTCGTGCTGTCTCCCTGCCTTAGGCGAGTAACCAAATTCCCAAACTGCCTCTTAGTCCTGCGCTGGAATCCAGCCCCTCTGCTTGTCATTAGCATTAATTTCTGCAGGGTCTGTTTTAATTATCCACAGGCAGCCTAGGTTTGCTGAGCTCTGTACATCTTCCTGTTCATATTTTGAATGACGTTATGGTTTTGTCCTGTGAATGTTGAAGTTTCTTGAGATTATTATTTTAAAAATTGATTCCAAAGATGTTTACCGAGGCCGAGCGAAGGTTGCCACGTAACGAGTGTGCGTAAGCGCCTGTCCTTTGTGTGTATTGGTGATGCTTGAATATCACTTTTGTCAAAGTCAGGCTGCCCTTTCCATGTAACCTCCTTGACCGAGCCTGTCCAGTTTCATTCCAGAGGGAGTTAAGTGTAACAATACTTTGTTTTTATTGTTGCAGAGTCTTCGAGTAAAAAATAATGACCAGCTTTGGATTCCTGTGTTTGTGTCTTTTTTTTTTTGTTTTAAGACTATCTTGCTGTTTAACAGTGAAACAAAACTGCAGCTGTTTGCACGGGGAAGAAAAATGTAACGCTGTAGCTAACACACCATTTGTGATAGGTGTGTTTGAAAAGACAAGTTCAAATGATAATTCAAATGAGAGCTGCACTGAGGTACTCGTGTTTTCAGTTGATACTGGCTTGGGTATCTCATGGTAGTGTGAGCTGGCCAAGATCTTGGTTAGATGGTTTGTGTGGTTTGGGGAGAAGCTTTCACGCATGCTAGGCTCAGATAACGATGGTAATAAAATGGGTTCTTGTGTTGCAAAAATAATGTAGGCTGGAGCTGACAAATTATGTTTAAAATTCAGTTCTTTGTAACCTTTTTCTGTATTTGTGTACAATGCATCCAGATCAGATTTCAGCTACAGGTAAGACTCCTCCCCTCTTTGCCTCCACACTGAATCAAATCTTACAGCTGAAGGGGTTGGCAGTGGTGAGTTTCCACTCAGTATAGTACCTGTAACAGAAAATAATAGCTGGTCCAAAGGAAAAAACAAGGAAAAAAGTCAAGCTGAAGGATATTTAGGTAGTTAAAATTGTTGAGAAACAAAAAAGCAACTGTGTGCTTAGCTGGCAGTTGGTGTTTGCCAGATTGCCAAAGTCAGCTGCAGGTTTGGTTTTGAAATTCATGGCTTCAGTTATGAGAGATTGATGAGGAAGGAGACACTTCAGTATGCCATGGCACTGTTTCAGTGTTTGGAAACACTCAAGTACAACGTCAGTATTAAATTTAAGGCTTCTTTGCTTTCAAGAGAGCCTCTGTCTCCTGCAGTTGTCTTATCTCCTTGCTTGTATCAGCTGAAGTTCTTAGTTTTGACCTGAACAGTTTCACCCTTGGGTCTTCCCTGAATTTTACTCCTGGCCACTATTCTGGCTAATACCATACAGCCCACTCCTGGGACAGCTTTGCTTTGCCTTGCTGACCTCCTTATATTCCTGTGGGCTTTTCTAACTTCAGTAACTTTCTAGAAAGAGGTTCTGCCTCAATTTGCTCTTTTACCTCAGTTTTCCATATTTGCCTCTTTAAAACTTTCCAGTTACAAGTATAATTTCTATTTAGCACTGCTTATAGAAATTCTCCTAACTGCAAGACACACCCAGACAGCCAAGTCTTGGGTATCTGACACTTAATAGCCATTTTGCTGTACCGAGACTATAGACTGAAGGGAAAAAGCTGTTCAAAATACAGGTTTCTTTTTGACCTGTGGAAGTGGCATCCTGTGTCCTGTGATTTCAGCCGCAGGCAGGTTCATGGATGTGTCCCTTCCCTGTGGTGTTCCCAGCACAAGTGCAGTGACAAGGAGAGGCCGCTTGCCCCATTACCACACGAGGTTTGTCCTCAGTGAAGCTCAGCCCTGCTATTAGGGCTGCTGATGTAAATCTCTTCCACCTGACTCCTCAGACTGGCCAAGATCTTGTTTGCTGACAAACCACAGCACGTATTTGTCTGGGAGCTGCAGTTTCATCTGTCAAAAAAATAGAAGGAAAACCTGAGGAGGCCAGATGCTGGTTTTGGGTGAATTACCTTGATCTTCTTCATCAATGGGGAGAACCTGCAGCTGCTGGGCACAAAGGATATAAACTGAATATAAAACTGTACCGCAGGACTAAGAGAGGTGTGAGGACCGGTGTGGCTCTCAGGGGGGTGTGGTGGTGTTATTCCCTAATAATGAAGGATGGCTGAGCAAAGCCATGGTGCCTGCTGAGCCTGGCTGGTTTCCTCATGTAGGCTATTTCAGTCCACATCTCACACAGAATCCCAGACCGTTAGGGATTGGAAGGGACCTCCAAAGCTCATCCAGTCCAATCCCCCTGCCAGAGCAGGAACACCCAGATGAGGTTACACAGGAAGGCGTCCAGGCGGGTTTTGAATGTCTGCAGAGAAGGAGACTCCACAGCCTCTCTGGGCAGCCTGGGCCAGGGCTCTGTCACCCTCACTGAGAAGAAGTTTCTTCAATTTCAGTGGAACCTCCTGTGTTCCAGTTTGTGTCCGTTACCCCTTGTCCTATCATTGTTTGTCACCGAGAAGAGCCTGGCTCCATCCTCGTGACACTCACCCTTTAAATATTTATAACCATGAATGAG